AAGATGAACATTAAAAAGAAGCAAATGTCTTTCTGATATAATGAAGGAGACCAAAGTTGGCCTTTCAGAAGTGGAGTAGAATGGTGGCTCCCTGAGGGTGTGGGAAAGGAAGATAGGGAGATGGCAAACGTGCAGTTGGATAGGAGGAATAGTTTCTAATGCTCTGCAGCATAGTAGGATGACTAATTGACAAGGATTAATTGTATACTTAAAAATGGTTGATAGGATTTTGAATGTTAGCCACAAAATAAAAAGCCAGGTTGGAAAAGAAAACATAAAAATACATTGCAGCTGGGCATGGTGGTGCACGCCTGTAATCCCAGCACTCAGGAGGCTGAGGCAGGAGGATCACTGTGAGTTCAAGACCAGCCTGGGCTACATAGTAAGTTCCAGATCAGTCTCAAGTACATAGTGAAACCCTGTCTCAAAAAACAAAACAAAACAAAACAAAAAAACATTGCAAAAATAATGGGGAAACAGGAACGTTTGAGTAAGGGTAGGTAAGTAGGAGATCAACTGGCTTTATGCAACAGAGCCTGATAGATAATTCATTGAGGGAAAGCATAGCATTTTCAAAAGTTCATAATCATCAAAAAATGGGTACAACTGAAAACCTATCAAAAGGTGAGTAGATAAATTGTGGTATAATTGTAAACTGGAATTCTACTCAGTAAAAAAAGAAACAAATTACTTATACACATAGTTACATAACTGACTCTACAAACATTATTATGCAGAACTGAAGAATCTACATACAAAGAGTACACAATGATCCCATTTATATAAAGTACAAAAGCACTGATAGATATCACATTAGTGGCACTAGGTAGGAAAGTGCATGGTTCACAGTGAATTGTGAGGTGATGAATTTATTCTATGTTTGGGCTAGAGTAGAAGTTTCCAAAACTCCTCAAACTCTATATTTAAAATGGCTAAATTTTTTTGCATGTAAATTGAATTCAAGAAAATAGAAAAATGTACAAAAGATTTCTCTTATGCCCACATCCTTGCTATTATCATAGGCAGTCAAGCATTTATAAATTTGCTAATTTAATGTTTGCTCAGTGATCACGAACTGTTTTTCAGTTTTCTTTTTCAGTAAGAATGACTATTATCAAGAAAGACTAAAGATCCTTGCTGGCAAGGATATGGAGAAAAAGGAACTCTTGCATACTATTGATGAGAATGTAAATTAACACAGCCATATGGAAAATAGTATGGGAGTTCCTAAAAATAAATAGAGCTACTATATAATCCAGCAATCCCACTATTGGGCATATATCCAAAGGAAGTGAATTCAGTATGTTGAAGGGACGTCTATACTCCCACGTTCACTGCAGCACTATTTACAATAGCCAAGAAAGAAATGGAAGCAAACTGAGAATAAAGAAACTGTGATACATATACACGATGGAGTATAATTCACATATAAAAAAAGAATGAAATCTGTCATCTGTGACAGTGTGGGTGGAACTGGAGATAATTATGTTAAATGAAAGTAGCAAGGCACAGAAAGACAAGCACTGCATGATCTCACTCTTATTTGGAATTTAAACAAATTGACCTTCTAGAAGTTGAGGCACTTACCAGAGGCTGGAGAGAACAGCCGAGAGAGGCAGAGAAGGACAGGGAGAGTACAGTTAGATAGGAGCAAGAAATTTTGGTTTGCTATTGAGTATTAGAATAAAAATACAATAATGTACCATACATTTCAAAAAGCTACATGAAAGGACTTTGAAAGTTTTTACCATATAGACATGATTTTTGAGAAAATAGGGTGTTTAACTTGATTTTAAAAAATGTATAAATATATCAAAACATTACATAGTACTTCATTAATATATATAATTTAATGCTTGTATACATTAGTTAAAAGTAAATAGAAATAAATAATTTATTTATTTATTTACCCCATCTACAAACACTTTATTTTCATCTTTTCATTCTCTCACATTTTTTTCTTTTCCCTTTTTGTTCTTCCCCTACGCATCACACCTTCCCTACACCTTTAGCTCCTTTCTTCAAATTTCTAAATGTCAGTAATCTTATTAGAATCTTATGCATTGTTGCAGATTATTCACACCAGGGAAACTATTTGGTATTTACACATATGTGACTTATTTAAGAAATAAATAATTTAATAGTACTGTTATATGATTGAATTATACCTGAGGAAATTAAAGTCAATGTACTATAAGGGATACTTGCATACCCATATTTATTGTAGCACAACTCACAATAGCCAATGTATGAAACCAGCTGAGGTGCCCGTCCATGGATAAATGGATAAATAAAAGTTATATATATGAATACATATGTATATATATATATATATTTAAACATAAAGAATGAAATCATGTTATTTGCAGAAAAATGAATGGAACTCAAGATTACTGTATTAAGTAAAAAAAGCCAGAATAGATGAGAATTGCATGTTTTCCCTTAAATGTAGAATCTAAGGAAAAGAAAAAAGAAAAAGTAGAAGGGAGATGATTAAACAACAGCAAGGGAATAGAGGTGGGGATAAGTGGTTTAAAGGAGGGTAATGGGGATGGATATGATTAAAGTATGTTATATGCATGTATGAAATTACTACCCCGAAACTATAAAATTAACAGATATTAATAACATATACTAAGAATAATTTTGACCTTTTATGGGGCCATTGCATATGTCCTTTAAGTGTGATATTCTTTTGTATATATCAGTGGAGAGTCTGTTTCCTTCTTATAGTTCTTGCATTCAATTTTAATTTTATTGAGAATAGAATTCATTCTCTATGTCTTGTAAGATAGGGTTTTCTGATATAGAGGAAAGTGATTTAAATTTTATCTTGTCACTGATTATTCTGCTGTACTATGCCACTGATATTTCATAGTTTATCTATGACAAGAACTGGTGATAACAACTATGTGGAGAATAAAATGTTTTAGGAACAATATTCAGTGGGAAAGACAATGCAAAGCTGTTGAACCATGTCTTAGTTACTTTTCTCTTTACCGAGACAAAATACCCGACACCCAAAGTTAAAGGAGGAAAAGTTTATTTATCTCACAATTTGTAGTGGTTTCAGTTCATAGTTGGCTGGCTCCAAGACAGGGAGGCATGGCAGAGAGATATCTCAGAGAAAAAACAGTTCACGGCACGCAGAAGGCAGAAGCAGCAAGACAACAAGCAACAAGCAACAAGTGGCAATAGCAACTTCTTTCTGTCCATTTACGTTCTATCTAGGCTACTCACCCTTAGAGCAGATGGCACTCACACCCAGAACTATGCCAAACCAATCAATAGACTAATTTAGTAAGCACACACCCTTCATCCCAGCATCACACACTCTAGATCCAAGCACCTCTGAAAAAGCCCAACCTATGACCACACGAGGCTTTGAGGGGACAGCTAGATACAATCCATAACAACTACGTTCTATTTTTGTGAAGTATATAAAGAAGTGATTACTGATTTGCTTACCCAGTGGTAAGAGGATTAGAAGTGACAACATAAATCAAGATATGGAATAAAAGGCAACGAGCAGATGAGAACCACAGCAGATGTGGGTGGAACATAAAGAATTCTAGGTTGTGCATGTTGAGAGTGAAAGGCTTACAGGAGCCCAAGTGGAAATGTCTACTGGGAAGATGAGAAGAACATCTGGGTGCTCTGGAGGAAGGTCTGGGACTCAGACAGAGATATAGAGGTCAGCAGAATATTCAAAAGGATGAAAGGGATGGGTTGAATTTCTTCACTTGGAACAATTAAGAAAATGAATAGACCAAGGGTAGAAGGCTAGCTAATCCATGTTATGGTGATGTTAAGAGCTTCGAACAGAATGACTGCTCCTTTTTTTTTAAATTTTATTGAGTTTATTGGTACATTTTAGGGATACAGTACAGTTACATTCATTGTTGGGATCATGTACCTTTACATGGCAAGTCTTGATTCTCATTTTTTCCCCTTACCTCTAAGGGGAAAAAATGAGAATCCTTTTTTTTCTATAGTAGGAGAAAATGAGAAGAGACTATAGAATCAGGTGGCCTGCCATCTTACACAGGATCAACAACTGACAAAACAGCAGAAGTCATTGAACTTTATAATTTCAGTATGTAAAACACTGATAGTATCCTCTCTACTGCCTTGGATTTGTCATGAAGGATACACACACACACACACACACACACACACACACACACACACAGAGTTTGCAATGTCAAAACATGAAGCAGAAGACAGGCATCCTTCAAACCTGAAAATTTTACAACCTCTAGCTTCTTTCCCTAAACTTGGAGAAATGTATTCTCTAGTCCCTGGCTACTAATTAATTCCAGACTAATGCAAAATTATGCAAATAATGCTATTATACAAAAGGGGCAGAAAATTTTGTTTAGGATCAACATAGACCAGAAAAGACAATGTAGAAAATCAATAAAGGTTGTGGGAGATTTAAGACATAAACTGATTTCAAAATTTGTGCAGCAAAACATGTAGGAGACATTAGAAGGAGGTTAGGAGGATTGGACATTTGCGTGTTATTGAGAAAGATTATGGGGTACTATTTAAAAGCCATAATCAAAGCAGAATTCTTGATAAAATGATAAAATCTTAGAATAACTTAAGAATGTAAGAAATGGAGCTCATATAAAACAGTGGCTCTCATACTATGTTTTCTCAGGATTGCCTAGACAAAACAAAGGGGAAATCATAGCCAGGTCATAAAAATCTCCTTCCCTAAACTACAAAGCTAAATGTCCTTCTTTATGGAGCTCATATAAAACAGTGGCTCTCATACTACGTTTTCTCAGGATTGCCTAGACAAAACAAAGAGGAAATCATAGCCAGGTCATAAAAATCTCCTTCCCTAAACTACAAAGCTAAATGTCCTTCTTTTACATATTCAACAATTATGTAGTATGTTTTAACAGAGCTCCCATGTGAGGAGGGGAAATCTGAAATAATATTCTAATATTAATACATTTCCCGGATAAAATTATGTAAAAGTCCCAGGGTTACCGTCTTAGACAGAAGAGAATTTCCTTCTTACATATGACTCTTCCCAGGGCTCCCTTCATGTCTCTGTTCCTCAGGCTGTAGATGAAGGGATTCAGCATGGGAGTCACCACCGTGTACATCATAGCCATGACAGTTTCCTTTACAGTGGAATTATTGGTGGATGGACATAAGTAAAGGCCAATGATTGTCCCATAGAACAGTGACACCACAGAGAGATGAGAACTACAGGTGGAGAAGGCCTTATGGATACCTCGTGCAGAAGGTACCTTGAGGATGGAGGACGCAATTCGTGCATAGGAAACAATAATGAGTAGAAATGGAATGACAATAACTAGCCCTCCCATGATAAATATTACTAACTCATTAACCTGAGTATCAGAGCAGGCCAGCTTCAGCAGAGCTGATATTTCACAGAAAAAGTGGGGGATTGCGTTGTCCCCACAGAAAGACAATCTGGCCACAAGCAAAGTGTGCAACAGGGCATGAAGTGTGGTCAGCACCCAGGACAGCACCACCAGGCACACACACAGCTGGGGGCTCATGATGCTGGTGTAGTGCAGGGGGGAGCAGATGGCCACATAGCGGTCATAGGCCATGGCCACAAGCAGGAAACTAAGGTCTGCAAAACAGGAAGAAATACATTTGGGCCAGGCAGCCTGCATATGGGATGGATGGGAGTTGGCTCTGCATGTTCTTCAGCAATTTGGGCATTGTGACAGAGGAAAAGCAGAGGTCAGAGAAAGACAAGTTGCTGAGAAAAAAATACATAGGTGTGTGGAGATGGGAGTCCAGTTGAATGAGGGTGATGATGAGCAGGTTCCCCAGGACCGTGGTGAGGTACATGGCAAGGAACAGGGCATAGAACAGGTGCTGGTGCTCTGGATGGATGGGCAAGCCCAGGAGTAAGAACTCTGAGAGAAAAGTTTGGTTTCTTCCCATCTTTATCTGTCTCCAGCATCTTTAAGAGAAATTAGCAGTGTCCCTTAACAATCTAAATTAAAATAAACACATCTTAACAATGCAGACTGTTATGCATTCCACAATAACTGATCTTGCCTTCATCAAAATAATAAGATCCAGACTCCAGATGTTGATAATCTCTGTAATCATTAATGGTATTTTCTTAACTTCTCTGTAACATATTTCAAATTCTGTCCTTTCCTAAATATTTTTATATATTTGCTTCTGAGACACAAAATACATTTGTTTTTTTCTTAACTGACTGACCAATCATCCTAGACAAGCATTATTAGCATCTATTCTATCAGTATCTTATATGCTGATGTTTTCAAAGATTTTTCCAAACTCTATCCTCTGATATTTCTATATATAAAATCCAAGAAAAATTCATTCACTGTAAGGAATAAAGTCACCATTTACACTCAGGAATAGATGTCTCTCTCTAATCTATAGAATTCTGTGTCCCACTGCTTAATGTTCCCTTGGATATACTGTACAACAGGAATCTTAAGTCAGTAGATCCCAACTAACCTCACTTTCCTCAATTTCCTTCTCTTCTACTTGCTCATACTTCAGTAAAAGGAATTTAGCACCAAATCAGCAACTGCGAATTTTATTTATTCCTTTCTCTCACTATCAACTCCAACTTGGCAAATTCTATTCTTTATTCTGCTACTTTATTCACTCCTTATCGGAAGATCATAAGTCTTGTAATGCCGTAAGTCTTTTCTGGACTATGGAAGCAGCCTGTCAGTTTGTGTCCTTGTTTCTGTGCCTCAATCCCCTTCCTCAAAATGCTTCACTGACACTGTGGCACCCTAAGGTGGGAATCGCACCATCTCTTTCCAGACTGGCAGTTCGGAGGGTTATCATTACTCTTGAGATAAAGGTGATGTGCCTTTCAAGGGCTCAATATGCTTCCTTATCTGAGCTGGGCCTGCCTCCACAGCCTCATCTTGCCCCACAGTGACACTTGTGTTCCACTCTGAAATGAGGTGGACTCAGCCATAATTTCTTGCCATCAGCATTTCATGCTTGCTGTCCTTCCTGCCCGTCACCTTCTCCCTTCTCCTGCCTCTTCACCTTGTTTGCTCCCACTCTGATATATTACATGGTTGTTGCTCAGCTGTCTCTCCATACTGGTGAGCCCTACTTCCATGATTCCTCAGCATTCTATACTTGTCCCAATGCCCTCGATCACTTGTTTATAGCTGACTTTCCTGTGGGATTGTGAATTCCATGCAGTCAAGGCCATGTCTGCCTTCGTGCTTGCTGCAGCATGGGCCCTGGATGTGGCCAGTGTTTCATCAATATTTATTGGATGTCAGTTGGGCTGAGACGTACATTTTTTCAATTTAAAGGGCAGCAAATTTTTTTTAAGTAGAAAAATTAGTCTTAAATTATTTCAGCATACAAAATACCATCTAGCAGTAGAATCTGAAACTCTCTTACCAATTTCACAGTAGTATTTATGAAAAATAGTAAGGTGTGCCCTACATACTATAGTGGTACCTCAGTTCACCAATTCAGTTCCTTCCACATTTCTGGAAAAGGTGGCCATGTTCATGTTAGTTACCCAATGCAGACTTCACAAAGAAAAACAAAATCTTACCAAATGCTTCTGTTTGCAATCCAAATCATTCACAAACGAAAGCATTCATGAACCAAGTTACCACTGCACTCTTGTTAGGAATGCAGATGACTCAAAGTAAGCATTCTCATGTTTCAGTCCACATGCTCTCCTTGACATTCATGTGGGAAAAATAACACGAGGAAAATGTTGTAAATTATGGCAAAAGACAAAAAAAAAAGAAGCATAATTTAAAAAAATCTTCAAGCCTTTGCTTATGCTCTTCTCCAGCTGTCCAAATCATATGCAATGATTAATTTTATGTGCTGACTTGGTGAGACCCCAATACTAAGTTTTTGTTAAATACAAATTCTAGGTTTTGCCATGAAGGTATTTTACAGTGCGATTAAGATTTGTATCAGTAGACTTTGTGTAAAACAGATTACCTGCCACATTGTTGTGAGACTCGTACATTTGGTTGAAGAATTTAGAAGACTGCCGTCTCCTGAAGAATTCTGTCTCCAGATTGCCTTGGAACTCAAGCCTGTAACATCCCCCCTTCCAGGGACTCAGGTCTGCCGACATGACCTGTAAATATCAGACTTGTAAGTCCCCAATACTGTGTGGGGCTATGTCCTTATGCACATTTGTGCACACATACATATGCACTGTTAGTTTTGTGTTCTTCCTGGTACTTCTAATGAGTAAACTTGAGTGTGTCTCACAGCTGACAAAGAAAGAAGAAGAAGAACAGCACCGAGAGATGTGCTACAAGATACTGCTGAGCCCAGCTGCTGGGATTGTCATCCTGCTGGTGGTGTTTAATACAGCCGCATTAACAGTTTTGGTACTTGGACATCATGTGCTGCATTATAGCAGGAAAACAGATGTAGGGGAACTCGTGTACCCAGTTTCTCAGAGTTTTGCTTCCTCAGTTAAAGAGGCCCCTCTCTGGGATCAGGAGTGTGTTCAGGGATTGCAAACCAGAGTTGTCACTTGCAGATGTTGCCAGCGATGGCTCAATGAGCATCTTCTTCAGCCGTTAAGTCTGGGGTTCTCAACCTGAACAATGCATAAGAGTCACCTCGGGCAGTGTTTCTGAGATTGAATATGTATGCAAATCACCTAGGGATTGTATTAATGCTGATTGTGATTCTACAGTTCAGATTCTACATGTCAAACGGACCCCTAAGTGATGTACTGTGCTCAGTGGATGCTTGAATATCAAGCATATTGAAGATGTGCCATTAAAAATACAGGTACTCCTACAGGTAGACCTAATCATGATCTCTGCAAGGACACCTGTGCAAAGCTTTTTAAAACTTGGCAGGTAAAAGTGAAATAAAGAAGGCTTAAAAACTACTGCATTGAGCCCTGCTTCACAAAGTTGTTGTATTGAGACTATGTGATCTCTTGAGAATACATTGTATAGTAAGCAATATTAACTGATATTATTAATAAACGTATTGCAAATGGGAAATAGCAATTACAATATTTTTATAATTTGGGAAAGTCTAAGGAGAGAGATACAAATGAGGGAAGTTATCATACCTGAAAAGTTATCCCCTAGAACTTCCTACACACTGGGAAGTAAATACACTCAAATTGGAAGAACACTAAGGCACCAACTCATTTTTTTATCCAGGGTTTTCTAAGGGTGACTCCATGGCCCTGACCCAAGACCTTGCTGTTCTTTATTCATAGGAAGCAACAGCTTCTGAGGTCATTACCTATCTGCATTATCTTTTCTCTCTTCTACCCTTCTAGCCATTCCCAGGCCTAAGTGGCTCTGCATCCCAGAGGAGTCCAGATTCTGGAGGAACTCATTAAAGACAAAGTAATTACCCAGGCCCTCTCTACAATAAATTCTCTCAGAGTCCTGTAGCGCTAACTGATTATAATCACTCACCACACCTGACTGTACATTGAAGGAAGACTGGGATGGAGAGAGGCTCATGGATGAAAGCTTAACACTGACTGTTAAGGAAATGGACAGGAATCTGCGTGGCTGGTGCCTACATTTTGGGAAGTGAAGCAGTATGTTTGGAGAAAGCCATGAATATGAGTAGAGCTTCAACTGCGAATGTTCTAACATATGGTGGGAGTATAAGAGTTTATATTTTATTCTGGGGACAACAGGAAGCTGTTAGTGGATCTTAAGTAGAGTACCACACACACTTTAGAAGCAGGGTGTCAGTCTCACTACAACCACACTCCCTGTTGATAGTACCTAGGAGATGGAACAAATGCATTTAACAAGGATCAAGCTTCTATGATTTATCATAGCAGATATAAAGAAAGCATGGGAATAGAAAATCTAGCTCTTCCAGATCGTGTTCAATTCTTCCTCAGGCTACGACTATAAAACAAACCAATATTTACACCCCAATGAGTTCCCTTAGGTCCTTTCCTGATTAGGAAAACCTTAATTGCACCCACCATTACCATCCCTTCCATTTGTCATATATGTTATATTACTTCTTAATGCCAAGTTCTTCTGACCCCATATTTGATCATGAGATCATGCCTGGCATTTATAATATATATTATAGTACATATTTATAATACACCAGCCAGTTCATGTTCAACCACTCTTTGGCCACCAGCATTAGCTGTGTAATGATCTTTACATGATGGTTAAATGCAAATTTCCTTCTTAGAGATCTTAATCCTCATCAGTATAGCCTTTACTGGGTTGTTACAGTATTTGTTAACATTTGTTAATGGACTTTCAAATATAAAGTAGCACCCAAAGAGTTCCCTAAGATTTTAGACATTGCCTTCCATGTTCCAGTTGATAGAGCAACCAAGTTTCCTAGGCAGAATTTCCCCAATTACCTTGGGTAGAGTGGCAATCTTTGGTATATTGTTTTATAAGTGAATCAAACAATGATCAGGTGGTCCAATACGGGGAAATGATTATTACATCCATTGGCAGAAGAACATATTTAAGATCTATACACTTGTGTGGCACCGTTCCCACCAAAGCTGCAATAATCAGTTCTGCACTGGTCTGAACTGGCTTTAGTAGCTGCAATATGAGATCACTGCACATCAATTCTGCTCCACCTACCCCTTGAGTTTTGCTCTGGGATGTCTCTAGATCCACAGAGAAGATCATGGGGAAATTTTCTCGGTATTCATAAAATATTAAGGTCCACAATATTTTCTCTAAAGTTGCACAGAGTGTGAAGTGTGGATTGAAATTGAAATTACACAGAGAAATCCATTTTTCAGCATCATTTATTGAAAAGTTTATTGTTTTAGTCACCTTTCCATCACTGCAATGTACCTGACCTGACCAAGGTTATTTCTAAGCAGAGATTTGTTTGATTCACACTTTCGGGAGTTCAGAGACCCATTAGCCTCATACAGCCTTGGCAAGTACCATCTGTTGGTTGTGGCACCT